TTAATAGAATTTACCAAATTGCAATATTGTTTGATAATTTTTCAAAAGTAGTAAAATTCTTCTCAGAAATTCAATTATTTTCAAAGATTTCAATAAAGTTTTTGGTAAAATTTTAATTATTTTCAAAAACTTTCTTCAATTCGATTATTTTTAATATCTACTATTTTAATAAAAATTCCTAAAATAATTCAATTAGTTAAAAAAAAAATTTTAATCAAATTCTACGCAAACATTTAATTATTTTCATAAATAATAAAAATTTCACAGAAATTCAATTATTTACAAATTATTTTCATATATTATTCAATTATTTTCATAAATAATAAAACTCAATGCTGAATTTCAATTATTTTTAATACAATTTTAATGGAATTCCTCGAAAAAAGTTATTATTCTTAAAAATTTTATTGAAATTTAACAAAGAAATTGAATTATTTTAATAACTTTTGCTAGAATTTATTTTTTAGAATTTAAGTATTATTTTCAATAAATTTTTAATTAAATTTCTTAAAAGAATAATTAAAATATTTTAAGAAATTTTAATGAAATTCTTTGAGTAACAATTCAATGTTTTTCCAAATAATTTAAATAAAATTCTTCACAAATATCCAGTTAGGTTTAAAAATTTATAAAAATTCTCGTCAATATTTTAATTATCTTTATAAATAATAAAATTTTTCTCCGAAATTCAATTATTATCAAAATTTTTAATAAAATTCTTGGCAGAATTTTAATTATTTTTAATTCAATTTTCTCATCAGATTTTTCGAAAAATGCAATTATTCTTAAAAATTTTATTAAAATTTGTCAAGAGAAATCTAATTGAAAAATGTGAAAAAAAGTCGAAAAAATCGCACAATCCGAGCCCTGAATTATTAATAAACCGAAATTTTACAATGGATTGTAACAAAAGAGCTTTCAAATTATTTTTCAAGTAATCTCACATAAGTGTTCCTAAAAAAAGAAGCTACATATTTTTTTTCTATTTTAAAGAAACAATATTCTTTTTAAATCGCTATTATATGAGAGAGAGATAGAGTGCTTCGTTCAATACCCATTAATTCCAGCTACTGTGTACTTCATGAAAGATCGACTCATCTTTACGGAAGATGAACTAACGTAAGAGTTATTCGTTAGAAAACGTTCACTTCGCGATTTTTACGTCTGTCGTCATGCGGTCCGACTCGCTGAACGTGAGCTTTTCTCTCTCTCGTATACGATATGCATAAAAGGCTCACTCTTTTTTTTCACTATATATATATCTATACCTTTTTTCTATGGGTCTCCTATCCCCGGTCTTCTCTTTTTTTCCCCCTATCATTATTTCACGGTTTAATATTCACTTCTTGGTGTAGGTGTGCGTTCAACTTTCCAGAAGAATGTGCGCTTTTATTGTGTACGGTTTTTAAACGTGTGTATATGAGAGAGAAAAATATGAAGAGAAGGAAAAAATAAATTAACGAAAACTAAAGTCTCGCCAGTAGACGCGCAAAGAGTTGGAAAAAAAAGTATAATTTTTTTTTTTAATTCTACAAAATTCTTTTTCATTTTCGCTTGATATTCAAAAGGATTCTTTTGAAGAAATGTGGCCAATTAAATTCTAGCAAAAGAGATTTCATATAGAAAGTATATACATTGAATTTTCAAGTAAGAATATTCTCACTTCTCTCGCACAAAGTGAATATGAAGCAAATTTCGATATAATTTTTAATAGTAGGAACGCAATTTTTCTGAGGATGTCAAAATTGAGACCTTTCACTTCAGTCTAACTTCACTTTACTTTCACTTCACTTTCACTTCCATGGTTGCCACAAAAAAATAATTTTTATTTTCCCTGACTTTTCCCTGATTTACAGACAAAATTTTTGCCTCTCTCCCTGAGCATACACAAGGAATATTCTGATTCACTCTAATCTAGAAAATATTAGATACTCAAAAAAAGGTTCTATTGCATTTATTTACGAATTATTCGAAAACATCAATAACTTCTTTTTTTAAATAAATATTTAATCATTATTATTTTCTCGTGGAAATTAAGATTTTAAAAAAATTCAAATTTAAAACTATTTTTGAAATTCAATAACTTTTAAGAATATTTTTATAAAACATGAAGACATCGATCGATTTCAATAAAATTTTTCAAAAAGAAATTAAATTATTTACAAAAATTTTAATCGATACCTTTGCAAGAATTTAATTATTTTTATAAGTAATAGAATTTTTCACATCAATTCAATTATTTAAAAAAATGTAATAAAATTCGTTGTAAGAATTCAATTATTATCATAAATAATAAAATTTTTCCTAGATGGTAATTTTTTTTAAATACAATTTTTAATGAATTCCTCGAAAAATGAAATTATTTCTAAACATTTTTTGCAAAAATTCAATTACATTTTACAAATAATGAAATTCTTTGCTGAAATTAAAATATTTTCAAAATCTATTATTTTAATAAAACTTCTCCAAAGAATTCAATTATTTAAAAGAAAATTTAATAAAATTCGTTTCATGAATTCAACTATTTTCATAAATAATAAAATTCTTTAGAGGATTTCAATTATTTAAAAGAAATGAAATAAAATTCATTGCAAGAATTCAATTATTATTTTCATCAATAATAATATTTTTCACAGGATTTCAATTATTTAAATAAATTGTAACAAAAATTCTTTGTAAGAATTCAATTATTTTGCTAAATTAAATATATATTAGAAAATAGAAACTATAAATAATGTTTAAAAAATTCAATTAAACTTTTTAAAAAAAAGTTAATTCTATAAAATTTTTAGAAAAGTATTAAAAATTAAATTTTGAAAGATATTAATTTGAAACATTTTCCTGTGAAATTTTTATTATTTATAAAAAAAATTTAAATGTTTGCGTAGAATTTTACTATAATTTTTTTGAATAATTGAATTCTTTTGAGAAATTTTATTAAAATAGTAGATATTGAAAATCACTGAATTGAGGAAAATTTTTGAAAATAATTAAAATTTTGCCAAGAATTTTATTTAAGTTATTGAAAATAATTGAATTTCGGAGAAAAATTTTATTATATATATATATATAATCAATTATTTAATAAATTATTTATTTTTGTATTTAAATAATTGAATTCTCATAGAAATTTCTAATAAAAATTGATTTAAAAATTAATTTTATTTATAATTTTAGGTAATATTTATTATAAAAATCGTTATAGCGTTAATTTTTGTAAATAATTGAATTTTGAAAAGGTTTTAGATTAAAATCTTTGAGAATTTGAATTTTTCATACTTTTAACTAACAATTCTGTGGAATTAATTTTTTTTAAAAGTTTAATTAAATTTTTTTTTATATTATTTAAAGTTTTTATTTTCTAATATATATTTAATTGAAGAATTTACGAATAATTGAAATTTCTTAAAATTGAATATTGTAAACAAATGAATTTGAAAATTGTCAAAGAACTTTTTCAAAACTTATTTAAAATAATTAATTTAAAGAAGAATTTTAGTTAAAAATTTTTAAAAATAATAATTGGACTGGTTATATTTTTGTCAGCAATTGGTTCGTAATTTTTCATTTTTGTTCCGTAAAGTCCGTATTTTTAAATAGTTTTACTGGTTCGAGCCCTGTAATTTAATAAAAATCGCTGACTTTTCCTTGAATTTGATGATTTGTGGCAACCTTAACTTCACTTTCACTTTCAATAAGAAAGTGAGAGGAGTCAGTAAAGTGAAACTAAAGTGAAAGTGAAGTGAAGAGAATGTAAAGAGAAGTGAAACTAAAGTGGAAGTGAAGTGAATTGAATGTGAACAGAAAGTAAAGTGAAGTGAGACAAAAGTGAAAGTGAAGTGAATTGAATGTGAAGTGAGAATGAAGTGAGAGTGAAGTGAAAAGAATGTGAAGTGAAAGTGAAGTGAAATGAGACTAAAGTGAATTGAATTGATTGTGAACTGAAAGTAAAGTGAATTGAATGTGAACAGAAAGTGAGAGTGAGAGTGAGAGTGAGAGTGAGAGTGAGAGTGAGAGTGAGAGTGAGAGTGATAAAGTGAAAGTAAAGTGAAAGTAAAGTGAATTGAATGTGAAGTTAAAGTGAAGAGAATATGAAGTGAAAGTGAAGTGTGAGTGAAGTGAATTGTATGTGAAGAGAAAGTAAAGTGAATTGAATGTGAAGTGAGAGTGATATAAAAGGGAAGCGAAAGAGAAGAGAATGAGAAGTGAAGATACAGAACCATTTCGCCGAGAGTGATATGCAGCAGATACTCGAAATAGCATATCATTATAATAATCTAAATAAGAATGATTTAATACGTATTGTAGGAGCCCTAGCAACGGAGTGATGCACAAAGGTCGACAATATAATACTCGAGTTGCAAAACCCCCTTGGGGTGTTTACAAGAAGCGCAGAAGGTCGTATTTGAAGAGGATCTCCGCGTGTTACGCTATACGACACCTAGAGAGGATCTCGGCATCTCTCTATGTCACGTCTCGGTTTATTCCCCAAGATGCCGCCTTATTTTGTACTCACACACATATATAGAGAGTATTGCGTTGTTGTCGTCGACAGAGGGGGTTCCCTATCGCATTTATGTCGCGACTACTCTTGGGGCCATGACGCGCGACGCGACATTTTCTTCCGGTCCCTACTTCGGTCGCTGACGACTATGACAGTCAGGCTCTTCCCCCAGCATTATTATACGATAAATGATATCCTACATTTTCATTTCATGTAAACAAGATTTCACTCAAATTTCTCACAGGACATTTTTTTTGTCATCTTTCCTTCTGACTTATTTTCCCATATATTTCTCTTTTGTTTCCTTGCGGAACATCTATTTTTTTCGCGACTTTTTTTTTATGTCAAAGAAGATGAAAAGCAATGCATTTAAAATAGCAGAGATGGGAAAAAATTGTATTACGCAGCTGAGAAATATTTTTCGTCAAACGAACCAAAATAGTTTGGTTGGTATCTATAGGTGACCAAATTATTTTTTGGGAGAACAAATAAAAAATTTTTCAGTTTAATAAATATTGTTTATTATTTCATCTATTTTGATTCAAATAAATTATTTTTATAAATTAAAAAAATCGGCCCACGATCTAGGCTGGCCATAAGCTATGATAAGCTATCTGGGACACAATTGGGACCCACAACCATTCCTGTAAAGTGGATACTTAATAAAAATGGCGTGTGACCAGCTCTGTTCGAATTTTTCTTTGATATATACGATGTTCCATCAACATATCCACATCTTAAATTATTTGTTTGCCATGAGTACAAATCCCATGGTCTGAGAGCTACTTTTGTACCCTGTCAAAGAAAATTTTTTTCTTTTTAGTAACTTCTCGACATTTATAATTAAATTATTAATTTAAATAAATAGAATATAATTTCCGTGATTTCTAAGGTTTATAATAAAATTGTAAATTTGAATTAAAAAAAATGTAAAGGGAAGAGAACAAATTTTGTTTTCGATAATTTCTAAAATTTCTAGACATTAATTAATATATTATAATAATATTAATTTATATTAATTAATATAAATGTAAATAAATTAAATATTTAAAAGTTTAAATAAAAAGAAGAAAAATAAAAAAAATTTTTGTTTACGCTCATTTTTAAAGTTTATAAATAATATAAATAAACTAACCTTAGACAAGTGCGTACACATTTTGCGTCAATTGTTAAAGGAATACAACTAATCATTAATTAAAATTATATAATTTAAAAGAAATAGCAAAAGAAAAAAATTAATTAACGTAGCATAAATATATTGTGATTATTAAATAGAAATTATTATAATTTTTCTTCATTTATTTCTAAAACAATTTGAATTTTTTTTTTAATATTGTTATAAACAGTGCAAATTTTTTATAACTTTAAAAAAAATAATTGAAATTTTGTTAACTAATTTTTGTATTCTTTTTAGAAGTGAATGGAAAATTTATAAAAATGAATGAAAATATAAATGACAAATAAAATTTTTAAACATATTTTCCCATTATTTTATAAAACTTTCAAAATTCTCAGTTTTAATTTCAATTGAAAATTCTGATTGGCAAATCGAATTAAAAGAATTTTTCTTTTATTTTTAAAAACACGCGAGATTTTGTTAAAAAAATTTCTAATTGAGAAATAAAAATGGTACAAATTATTTTCATTTAAAAAGAAATTGAGAATTTTCTACAAAATTTGTGATTAAGGAAAAGGAATTTTACAAAATTTTCTCTTTTTTTCTAAAAGAAATACATAAATTGTTATTGAGAAATAAATAATAAGAAAAATGAGTATTTTTCATTTCTTAATTATAATTTTCTAATATGTTTTCATTTCATTTTTAATTATATAAATTAAAAGTAAAACTATAGACAAAAAATTACTGATAATGGATGATTGAATGAATGAATGATAATAAAAATAAATTATTTTATTAAATTATAAATTTCAATAAAAATGTAATGTAAAATAAAAATATTTATTTAAATTTATAAAGCTTTTAGAAAGATGGGAAACTTTTTTTTTATTTCTAACCTTTTTTATTGGACACGTTCTTGTGTTTGCAAGCCTTGTAAGCATATGTTGTTGAACGGCGAATTCTGGAGTACCTGGTCTATATGTACTGCATAGATTATCAAGATTTATAATTTCTCGAGTACCTGAATCTTCAAAAATATAGTTATAGTAAACCTGAAATAATAATTAGTTACAAGAAACAGGAAAGTGAATTAAAATTTGAAAAAAAATTTTCTTTTAAAAGAAAGTTTAAAAATTGATTTTAATATCGGATTTTTTCTTGTCCTAGTGTTAAAGTTACTCTAATATTGTGTTGAATATACACCAAACTAGTGTTTAATTTAAGTAGTGTTGAATTAACCCCAAAATTATGGCAAATTTACCCCAAAAATTGTGTAAGTCTTACCCCAGGTACTGTTAATTTTTAGCAATAGAAATTCTTAAATGTTAAAATTGTAATACCTTCTTTGTATTTACATACTTTTAAGGGATTCGTATGCTCGTCAAACTCCTCCAACCATTCAACTTCGTATCCATTTGTTATTTCTTTTACATTAACTCCTCGTGTAATGTAACTTGATCTTATTTTCCAGTCTATGTGATTGTCTCGAAGTTCAAGCTTTAGAATAATAGTCCAGTCAAGTTAGTATTTTTAGACTTTTTATCTCAGGACCGCAATTTTTTTTTGCTTAAACCCTTTATTTTGGGGTCAAAATAAAGTGCCTAAATTTGGTACTTCGAACTCCGTTTGGAAAGCAAAAAATTTTTGCAAAATAGGTGCAAAAGATCAGTTTTTTGAAAATTTCCGCTTTCCATTACATTTAAGGGTAAAAATAGTTATTAAAAAAAAGAAAGGGTATACAATTCTGAGCAATTTACAAAAAAAGTGAATCTTGTAGCTCAAAATCAAAAATTGACCGAGAAATGCCCTTCACAAAAAATCCGTTCTTTCGTGATTTTAGCCAAAATTAGCGACTACACAGAGAAAAAAGAATTGTTAATATAGAACTAACAAATTTTTTTTTTTTTTTTTTGTTACAAAATTTTTTGTTACCTCAACAGATTCATTGTTATTAGAAAAAATTTGAATTGTTAGGACAACAAAATAAATTTGTTAGTTCTATATTAACAATCTTTTTGTCAACGTAACAATCCTTTTTCTCCGTGTAATTTGACTGGACTATAAAGCAATATTTTTAAGTAATTTTTCAAAAAATTATAATTAATCAGAATTTTTTTAATTACAGAAACTTACTGAATTAACAATTGCAATATATGCAAAAAGGAGAGTAATGATTTTCATCATTTTTGTAGTAATTTATTTATTTTTTTTTATAAGAAAAAATATAGAGAAGAAAGATAAAAGGTTTTTCAGTAGAAGTTATCTTCTCTTTTTATATTCTCTGATTGTAAAGAAAGTGAAGGAAAATTTGCTTGTCGTAATATTTTTAAAGCCGGTATAAAAAAATATAAATTAAATTCGAATATTTACGTTTGTTTTCCGCTTAAATTTAATATGATACAAAGAATAAATATTTAATTTTTGGAAATTCAGAATGTTGTTTTGTAAAAAATGTTTTTTTATTAGGAAAAAATTGTTGACGAGACAAAATAATTTTATTATTCTTAAAAATTATATTTTTGTTGTTGTTATTATTTGGTTTAAAATAATTTTCAATTTTACACTAGAAAAAAATTTATTTTATTCAAATAACTGATTATTTGTCTAAACTAAATATTTGCTTGAATCGAAAAATTTTTATTTAATTCAATTAAATTGTAGGAATTTGATTCGAATAATGAAATTACAAAAAAGTGGTTTCAGAATAATTTCACTTATTTTTAATAGAATTTTAATCAATTTCTTCAAAAAATTTAGTTATTCTTAAAAATTTTCTTAAAATTAGTCGAAATAATTTAATTATTTAAAAGTTTTTTGATAAAATTCTTTAAAAGAATTTAATTTCTGAGAAACATTCAATTATTCAATAAATTATTTCTTTTTTTATTTAAATAATTGAATTCTCATAGTATTTTCCAATGAAAATTGATTTAAAAATTAATTTTATTTATAATTTTAGGTAATAATTATCGTTAATTTTTGTAAATAATTGAATTTTGAAAAGGTTTCAAATTAAAATCTTTGAAAATTTTAATTTTTCATACTTTTAAGTTTTAACTAACAATTCTGTAGTATTAATTTTATTGAAAAAGTTGAATTGATTTTTTTAAAATTATTTGAAGTTTTTATTTTCTAATATAATTTTAATTGAAGAATTTACGAATAATTGAAATTTTGTAAAATTGAATTTTAAACAAATGTATTTGAAAATTGTCAAAGAACTGTTTAAAAAATTATTAAAAATAATTGATTTAAAGTAGAATTTTAGTGAAAAATTCTAAACAAATAATAACTGAATTGAAATGGTGAAAATAATTTTGAACAAGTTACAGTAACAATATTTTCATTAAATATTGTCTTACATGATGCATTAGAAATTTAAAAATAGGTTTGAAAAATTATTAATTCGAACAGTTGGGTCCAGTCACGTTTCCAATAAAGTTCATTCGCATTACTAATGGTGTTAAACGTCGATGTTTTGAACTTATTTTAAATAAATTTAATGTTCCGTCAACCAAACCACATTCTCGATTTGTCGTTGGATATGTGTAAGGATTAGGCAATTCGTAAGTAGCTTTCATACCCTGTAAATAAAAATTTTAGATTAAAAAAAATGTCATGTTTTAATTTTAAATCTTCAAAATTTAATTTATTTATAATATTATAATTATGGTGTTTTTAGTATTTTAACATTCTAATTCGATTGAAAAATAGTCGAGGACAGATGATGAGAGTAAATATTAGTCTTTTTAGTCTTTTTTTTTTTTTTTTTTTTTTTTTTTTTTTTTTTTTTTTTTTTTTAGTCTTTTTAGTGTTTTTATTAGTCTTTTTTTTTTTAGTAAATATTAGTCTTTTAATTTACTTACCTTTTTAATTGGACATTTTGTTGTATTCATAAATTTACTCAAAATGAACATTTGAACATCATGTTCTAAGCTTCCAACTTTATAATTCGCGCATAAATCTTTAACAATTATTATTTCTCGACTTCCAGTATTCTCGAAAATATAATTAAAATTAGCCTGAAATTTATTGAAGTAAATTAATTTTAAAATTAGATTTTTTCTCATTCTACTGTTTTCTAATTTTTTCTTACTGTGAGGGTTGTCTTACTGCCATCGAATTCCTCTAACCATAAAAATTCGAATCCGTTGTCTATTTTTGTTATATTCAATCCTTGATAATTATCAGGCTTTCTAATAGATGCCCATTGAAACATGTTTGTCCGATTTACCAACTTTTAATTAAAATATTATTACAATTTTAATTTACATCTTCATATTTGGTTATATTATTATATTAATGTATTTATATTTAAATATTATTATATTCGGTTTTGTTTTGTTTAACGTTATGTGACTTTATTTGGATTTATTTTGTTTTATTTGGTTATATTTTTTTTATTATTATTTGCTTACATTTTATTTTAATCATAAAATCTTTTTGGCTATCATTAAAAAAATTATAAAACTTCTCAATGCAAAAGAAGATTTTTTAATTTACAAAATTCCCTTTTATAATCAATAGAGTAAATTTTCTTTTTAAATTAACAAAAAAGTTTCTCTTAATAATATAAAATTTTCTTTGGTTTTACCTTTGGAAATAACCAATTCGAAATAAAGAGACTTTCAACTCCATGAGTGACAAAACCAAAAACAAAAAATAGAAATAATAATTTTAACATGTTTTATTTTGTTAATAATATTCTTCTAACTGAACTTATCACAAGCCAATGTCTTACTGCTTTTATATTTTCTTATATAATAAAAATGTCAGTCAAGGTATTAAAAAGTTTATCATTTTTTATCAATATTTAATTATTTTTCTAAGAAATTCGTTAACGTGGAAAGTTTACTAACATTATTATTTTTTTTTTAAATAAAATTTGTTTAATATTTTTTTTTAAATTTTTGTTACAAAGCTATTTATGCAATAAAATATAGAAGAATATTACTTAGTTGATAAATAGCAAATTTTTACTTTAATTATTCATAATAATTACCATTTTTTAATAATAATAATAATAATAATAATAATAATAATAATAATAATAATAATAATAATAATAATAATAATAATAATAATAATAATAATAATAATAATAATAATAATAATAATAATAATAATAATAATAATAATAATAATAATAATAATAATAATAATAATAATAATAATAATAATAATAATAATAATAATAATAATAATAATAATAAAAATGAAACTGTGTAGTAACTAATAATGTTGTAAAGTGAAATTTCTTTATTGGCATAATTATTTATTTAAGTAAATTATTTTTTTGGCAGTTTATAAGTACGATTTTCATTCTCAAAAAAAAAATATTGTAAATTTTCTCTTATTTTTCTGAGAATATTTGCTGAATAAAAATTAAAATACGCCTCTAAATACTAATTTGAACACTCGGGACCAGTCACATTTCCAATGAAATGGACTCGAAGAACTAATGGTTGAATTTTTGGACGGCTCAAACTTTTTTTAAATATATTTATCGTTCCATCAACTAATCCACATTCATGGTTTTCGGTTGGATATGTGTAGGGTTTAGGCACTAGATACATAGCTTTCGTACCCTGTACAACAAAAAATTGTTATAATTTTACTATTTATTCATTCAAATATTATTATTTTTGTTTAATATTTTTTAGAAACTTTTTTATTTTTAATTGCTCTAGTGAAAAAAATTATTTGATTCAAATAATTGATTACTTGTCTAGTAGCAAATAAATATTTACTTGAATCAAATAATTTTTTATTTAAATCATCTAAATTTGAACCAATAATTTATTTGATTCAAGTAAAGTTTTCGTAAAGTAAAGTAGTTTTCAAGTAAAGTTTATTTGATTCAAGTAAAATTTATTAGATTCAAGTAAATATTTATTAGATAACAGATAATAAATATTTGAATGAAATAATTTTTTCTCTCTGTATACGTGAAAATAGGGATTTAACAAAAGGTTCTAATTAGTTTTTCTAATTTTTTTGAGCAAAACTTTTGATAGAATCCTTTTTTTTTAATAAAGTAAAATAGATTAATTTCTGTACGATTTTTTTTTTTTTATTGTAAATTAATTTCTTTTAATTTACATACTTTCTTGATTGGACACTCTAAAGAATTTACAAATTGGGACATAATAAGTAGTTGAACATCATGCTCTAAACTTCCAACTTTATAATCGCCACACAAATTATTAACATTTATAATTTCTCGAGTTCCAGTGTCTTCGAAAATGTAATTGAAATAAACCTGAAATAATGTTAGAAAATGATTTTTCAAATCTTATAATTTTATTCAACTCTGATTTTTTTCATTTAAATAATTTATTTTTAATTTAATTTTAAGATCAATTTTGCAAAGTTCTTTTCTTTTTTTTCTGGGAAAAATAGTATTTTGTAACATAAATTGTAATTAACAAATTTAAATTTAGCTTTTTTTCACTTTTTTTTCTATAAAAAAATTTTTTTATTTGACTGTTTGAAATTTGTCAGATTTTTTCTTTTCAAAAAAGTTAGAAAATTTAAAAAAAAAATTTTTTACAGTTATTGTAAGGATATAAAATTGAGACAAAAAACGTATCAAAATTGTTGCGATGCAAAGTTTTGATACATTTTTTGCGCCATTTTTATATCCTTAGAAAAATTGTATTTCGAAACAATTTAATAATTTAATTTAAAATAATAAAAAAAAAAATAAAGCAGAAATTTTTGGTGTTACTTACTATTAGAGTATTGTTCCGGTTGTCTATTTTTTCCTCCCATAAAATTTCGTATCCATTCGTTACCTTCGTTACCTTGACTCCTCGAAATTGATCAGGTGTTCTAATATTCGCCCAGGTAATAGTGTCTGTCCGATTCACTAGCTTTTAAATTAACAATAAATTTAAACTATTTTTAATCAGTTAATTAATCAAAGAAAAATCGTTATTAATAATTGAAATTAATTTCAAAAAGTTACTCTATTAGAACTAATTAAATAGTAATTATTAATAATTATATGAAATCTAAAGGAAAACTACTCAGTTAATAATTAAATAATATTTAATTAAATAAAATTTTCTCAATAATAATAAATTAATTATACCTAATAATAATTAAATAATAGTTGTTAATATCTAATTATAATGAATTAAATAAAAATCCTCGAATAATAATAATTAATATCATTAATGATAATCTTGATTTTATTTAATTTGTTATTATTTTTATTGAAAGAAAAGGAGGAAATTTATTTTTCTTCATTGAATTTTTAAATTATTGAAAAGATTCTAATTTTATATATTCCAATTTTGTCATTGCTATATAATTACGTTTTGAATTTTCTCAAATATCTATTTTTAATTTTCTCCACAAGAATATAAAAAAGCAGAATAAAAGAATTTTTTTAATTCCAGAGATAAAAATTATTTTCAAAAATGTGACTTACAACTCCAATATTAACCGAAATGTATGCAAAAAGTAGGAGAATTATTTTCAACATTGTTGACATTTTCAGTAATGTAAACTTAATGAACTTAAAACTACAGTGTCGATGTCTGTTTCTTTATTTCTTAATAACAAAACAAAAAAACAAAAAAATGTAACTCAAAGCATTGAAAGAATTTCTTATCACTTTTTTTTATCAATACTTATCAATTCCTAAGTAGCTCATTGAAATGAAAGAAATGAAAGCATTATTGTTTAAAAAAAATCGCTTTGTCACATGTATTGCATTTAATTTTTTTTTTTTTGCAAAACCGTGTCTATTGTTTTAAGAAATATATTAAAATTACCAAAATGAAAAAGATTGGACATTTTCTTGCGATTTTTTTCCTGGTTTTAACCCTGGCCTTACTTCAGTCCTGTTACATTCAGTTTTTTTTTGTAATTATTTTATTGTTAGAAAAAATTTTGTTTATAATATCATAATTTGTTGACATAAATCAGATAAAAAAGAAATTTTCATAAAAATGATTCCTTATAGTTTTAATTGTATATATAACTGTTTTTCAATTCAAATTTTAATTCAGTAATAAAATATGTTGTAATTAAACAAACAGTTTTTCTTTTGCTTTTTACTATATTTATTTTTTGGTCAAAGAAATAGTTTTCTCATTGTCAGTGCAATTTTCTTATCAATTATTTGCTAAAATGTCGATTTAGAAATTTTCGAAAAAATATTTATAATTCACAGTTGGGACCAATAACTAATCCTGTAAAATGCATTCTTAATAAAAATGGTGTGTGACCAGCTCTGTTTGAATGTTTCTTTTTTATATACGCTGATCCATCAACGAATCCACATGCTAAATTATTTGTTTGCCATGAGTACATATCAGGTGATCTGAGAATTACTTTTGTACCCTGTCAAAGAAATTTTTTTTGTTTTCAGTAACTTCTAAACATTTATAATTAAATTATTAACTTAAATGAATAAAATGTTATTTCTGTAATATCTAAAGTTTATAGTAAAATTATAAATTTAAATTAAAAAAATAAAGGAAACAAATTTTTTTTCGATAGTTTCTAAAATTTCTAAATATTAATAAATATATTATATTAATATTAATTTATATTAAATAATATAAATGTAAATAAATTAAATATTTAAATAAAAAGAAGAAAAATAAAAAAATTTTTGTTTACGATAATTTTTTAAGTTTATAAATAAACTAAAATTAGACACGTGTGTGTATATTTTGCGTCAATTGTTAAAAGAAAACAACTAATCATTAATTATAATAATACAATTTTTGTTTATCTTTTTTTTTAACAATAATAATTAGAGAAAAAATTAATTAATGTAGCATAAAAAATATTGTGATTATTAAATGGAAATCATTACAATTTTATTCATTTATTTAAAAAAAAATAGAATTTTTTTCAAGATATTGTGATAAACAATAAATTATGCAAATTTTTTAACTTTAAAAAAATGATTGGAAATTGTTTAAAATAATTTTTGTATTCTTTTTCAAAATTAATAAAAAAAATACTGCCTAATTTCTATTTGTCAAAATTTTTTAACAAATCTTTTGGTTTTTAATATAGAAAAAAAAAAAAAATATTTAAATTTATAAAGCTTTTAGAAAGACGGGAAACTTTTTTTTTATTTCTAACCTTTTTTATTGGACACGTTCTTGTGTTTGCAAGCTTTAAAAGCATATGTTGTTGAACGGCAAATTCTAAAGTACCTGATCTATATGTACCGCATAGATTATCAACATTTATAATTTCTCGATTACCTGAATCTTCGAAAATATAGTTGAAGTAAACCTGAAATAATAATTAGTTACAAGAAACTAAAAAACTGAATTAAAATTTCAAAAAAATTCTTTTTTTTAAAAAAGTTTCAAAATTAATTTTAATTTGAAATTTTAGATTAATTCTAATGTTGTTTGCATCAATATAATATCGAATTTTTCTTGTTAAAGTTACTCTAATATTGCCTTGAATTTACCACAAAATATAGTGTTTAATTTACCCCAAAGTAGTTTTTATTTTATGTAGTGTTGAATTTACCCCAAAATTATGTCAAATTTACCCCAAAAATTGTGTAAGACTCACCCCAAGTACTGTTACTTTTTAACAATAGAAATTCTTAAATGTTAATCTTCTAATACCTTTTTAATTATATTTACATACTTTTAAGGGATTCGTATGTTCGTCAAATTCCTCCAACCATTCAATTTCGTATCCATTTCTTATTTCTCGTACTTGAACTCCTCGTAAATTGTTACTTGCCCTTATATTCATCCAGCCTATGTAATTCGTTCGAAGTTCAAGCTTTAGAATAAAGAAATATACACTTTTTAAGTAAATTGTTCAAAAAATTATAATTAACAGTAATTATTTAATTATATAGAAACTTACTGAATTAACAATTGCAATATAAGCAAAAAGGAGAGTAATGATTTTCATCATTTTTGTAGAAAATTATTTATTTACTAATTTTTTTTTTATAAGAAAAAATATAGAGAACAAAAAAAAGGTTTTTCAGTAGAAGTTATCTTCTCTTTTTATATTCTCTGATTGTAAAGAAAGTGAAGAAAAATTATCTTATCGAAATATTTTTAAAGCCGGTACAAAAAAAAAATATAAATTTTAATTGAATATTCTCGTTTGTTTTCCGCTTAAATTTGATATGTTATAAACAATAAATATTCAATTTTTAGGAAATAAGAATGTTGTTTTGTAAAGAATGTTTTTTTTTATTAGGAAACAATTGTTGACGAGACGAAATAATTTCTTCATTCTCAAAAATTATATTTTTGGTTTAAAATAATTTTCAATTTCACACTAAAAAAAAAAATTTATTTGGTTCAAATGACTGATTACTTGTCTAGAATAAATATTTGTATGAATAAAAAAAATTTTATTTTTATATATCAGTTAAATTGTAGAAATTTGGTTCGTATAAAGAAATGAGTGGTTAATTGAAATACTGAAATTTTTGGTTTCAATTTATTTGACTGAAATAAAAATTGTTTGACTTAAGTAAATATTTAATTGAAATATCTGAAATTTTTGGTTCAAATTAAATTGACTGAAATAAAAATGATTTGACTCCATTAAAAATATTCAATTGAAATACTGAAATTTTTGGTTCCAATTTATTTGATTTAAATATAAATTATTTGATTCGTGTGAATACTTAATTAAAATACTGAAATTTTTGGTTCAAATTTATTTGAATGAAATAAAAATTATTTGACTCAAGTAAATATTTAATTGAAATACTAAAATTATTGGCCTAAGTTTGTTTGATTAAAAATTATTTGATAAATAAAAATTATTTGATTCCAATAAATATTTAATTGAAATACTGAAATTTTTGGTTCAATTTTCTCTGATTTAAATACAAATTATTTAATTCATGGGAATATTTAATTAACAATAGGCAAATAGTAATAATTTATTTGAATCTAATAATTTTTTTCCAGTGTGAAGGAATATATTTATTTAAAGTTTGAACTAAAGTTTTTTTCGGTGTTTAAATATGGGTTTAATATTTCAAACTTATAAATTATCAACTTTGGAGTGATAAACTAAAAAGTAAAACATATATATAGATAAACACATTTTCGCTTTATGTATATAAATAGTGCACGTGAAAAGGGTAAAGTGCGGATGAAAAACAGCTGCTTGAAACTGACAAATATCATGCTAAAATAATAATTATAGTAATTTTTATCAGTTTGTCAAAAGTCACTGGAAAAGTTTTTCCAGGACAAATACTCGTAAATTCAGGTCACGGATTGTACAACTTTTTTTTGGCTCACTTTTTCCAAAGTATTTTGACAAAATACAAGTGTGTATTTTATTTTATGCTTAGAAAACTTTTGCTGGGCTATTTTTCACTTTTTGTACAAATTATTTGTCTTAATATAAATTATAATCTTTTGTCTTCGTTTACTGTTAGTTTATTATTTATATTATTTATTTTTTTTTTATTTGACCAATATATGGGACAAGACCTTTCGTAATTTATTTTTTGTATTACTTATTATTTATATTTTTTATTTTTTTTTATTTGTTATTTATTATTTATTTACGGGGCCGTATCAGTTGCCCAAAATTCAACTGCATACAGGAAAACTGCATAAAAGCAAATTTTAAAAATAAATTTACTAAATTTAATTTAAAAACAGTAGAAATTTAAATTACACACGAGAAAATTACGATTGAAAATTAATTTGAAAAACAAAATTACTTTGAAACGCATGAAGGAAAATAATCACGTGCACTTTTCTCGTATTCAATTTAAATTAATTTTATTCTTTTTTTATTAAAGTTTGTAATTTTTAATCGTATATGCAGTTTAACATCATGCTGTTTAAATTTATACTGTTCTCAAATTAAATCTAATATTTTTTTTTATTAAAATCTGCTTGTATGCAGTTTTTCTTTTATACATTTTAATTTTGAATGAGTGATGCCCCTTCTTTATTTTAATAGAAAAAATAATCTGATGAGAAATTAAATATAAATAAAAATTTAAAATGAAAAATAATTTTAAAGATTTTTTGAAATTTATTTTTAGTCAGCCTTTTTTTGAGTGATTTATGTAAATTCGAATCTTTGAAATTTTTCCAAATACACAATTTTTTGTATCTTATTGAACTGGAAAATTTCCCTATAACATCATAGCAATATTTATAAAAGTGATTCAATTTTTTTCTTGCCTTCTGAACTCTAAAGTTTAGCTAAATTCGAATAATTTTCATATAAACGAGTTTTAAAAGTTCTTTTTTTTGATAAATGGAATTTTAAAATATTTTAAAATTTTGTTCTACTTGAATTTAAATATTGGAAATTTGTCTCACATCAATGCTAAAATATTCTGAATAAACCTGAAAAAATTTCTGTCAAGAAATTAGGAATTATAATTTATTTAATACTTTTACAAAAGTTGTTAATGAAATACAAGTCGAACCATTTTTTTTTTTTTTGCAAAGTGAGAGACAATTTAAAACGTTCGACTAGTAATTATATGGTGGAAAACAATTTCGTTAATGATAGTAAAAAATGTTTCGTTTAAAAAAAAAATACTGAAATTGAAAATGAAAAAAAAGCTCTTTAAAAATTGTTATATTGTTTAAGCATAAAACAAGTATATTGTTTACCACTAATTTTTTGGTAAAACAATAAATCATAAATTTTGACATAAAAGCGGGAAAATAAATTTTCCCATAAATTGGAAAATAAATTTAACTTCAGAATTGAAATTCAAAATTGTATTGAAGTCAATTTACGTGATCGCCATCCTATTTATTCAAAATGTGAAATAACCTTTTAATCTATGAGCTCATAATATTTTCCTACATTCCCCGAATTAACTTGATTAATTAAAACAAGCTTCGGTGAATTAATTAGTCAATTTAATTTTATTGATTACTCATTATTAAATTTTTCCATTTATTAAAATTTTGTATAATTTAATTTTCGTACTTTTTTATTTTCTTACAATATCTAATTCGCACATTCCGGACCAGTGACATTTCCTGAGAGGAAAACTCGCAATAAAAATGGTGTGTGACCAGATCTTCGTGATTTTTTCTTTTTTACATACAATCCACCGTCAACCAATCCACATTCACGATTTTCGGTTTGCCACGAAAATGTTTCAGGTAGTTTGTAAATAACTTTCGTCCCCTGTTGAAAGGTTTTTTTTTTGTTTATTTATTTTCTCGATTAATGATGAAATTAAAGAAAAATAATTACACCCAGAGGAAAATGTTATTTAAACGGCAAAAATATTATTTATATTTGAGTTTGATAATAGTATGTTTATCTCAGTTACTGAATTATTTCTTTGTTGAATAAAAAAATTTTGTTCGGTACAATTAAAATTGTTATTTGAACCAAATATAATTTTTATTTAATTGAAATTTGCTTTAAACAAATAAAATTTATTAAAACAAATCAAATTTGTTTTAAACAAACAAAATTTATTTAAACCAAATAAAATTTGTTCTAAACAGATAAAATTAATTTCAACAAATAACATTTATTTTAAACAATTAAAATTTGTTTTACCCAAATAAAAAGTTTAGTTGGTTCTGAGATCTTTTTTCTGGGTGTAGATTTTTTTTAAAAGTTTTATAATTCAAAAGTTGCGAAAGAAATTTTCTCTTACCTTTTTAATTGGACATTGACTCGTATTTGCGAATCTAAGCAGAATATATTGTTGGACTGCGTGTTCTATGGAGTCTCTACCATAGGTACCGCACAAATTATCAATATTTATAATTTGTCGATGTCCCGATTCTTCGAAAATGTAGTTAAAGTAACCCTAAAACGATAACATTAATAATTAATGATAAAAAAAACTTTGTACTTGTACTATTTACTATATTTTTTTTGTTCTACTTACGATTAGAGGATTTGTACTGTTATCGAAATCTTCCAACCATTCAATTTCGTATCCATTGCTTGTTTGTTTTACTGATACTCCACGAAAGTCTCTACTTGTCTTGATATGCACCCAAATCATATCATTTGTCCTTGTAACAGCCTTTAAAAAAGTATTTTTAATAATAATACTTTTAAAATAAAAAATTATTTGCCTATTAAAATAAGCAAAATATAAATAAATATTAGTTTAATATAAATAATAATAAATTGCTTTAAATACTGAAATTATTGGTTATAAATTAATTTGATTTAAACAAAAATTATTTGATTTAAGGAAATGATAATACTAATAGACAAGCAATTAGTTCACTGAAAAACAATGTATTTGAATCAAACATAATTATCTTCTTTATACTGACAACCAAAAATTGTTTTTGAATTAAACAATTAATTTTGATTCAACACATAATAAGATTGATTCAATTAAAAATTTCGTTTAATTCATTTATAAAATACGTTTATTCAAACATATTTTTTTGTTGACTGTATAATTGTTTGATTCAAATAAATATTGTTTTCTCAGTGAACTAATTAAGATTTTATTTTTTCCCTAATCAAAAAAGTCTATTTGATTCAAATAACACTGAAAAAAAAATGTTTTTCAATTCAAAAATAAAATCTTATTTTAGATTTATAAAAAACTTACAACTTCATTAGTGAACGCGACGTAAGCGATGAGTAGAAAAATTATTTTTATCATCATTCTTGTTGAAAATTAGAATTAAAAATGTTGACTTGCAGTATATGGGAATAATACCCTTTTTTATATTCCCTCATTACAAAGAAAGTGGAGGAAAACATTTTTTATCCAATGAAAAATTATTCATTAAAACAAATACACAAATTTAAAAATATTGCATTTTTGCAATTTTTTTTCCTCTTAAATTAAATATTTTAATAATAAATTTATCACCTTTAAAAACAATAACAATAAAGAAAGAAAAACATTCTCAAAATTATGAAGTTTGGTTTGAGTGTCTAAAATTAAAATTTTCCAAAATTTTCATTGTTTTTTTTTAAATACATTTATTTAACATTTATTTAATATTTATTTAACATTTGTTTAATTTAAAATTTTATTCATACAAATTTCCATTTAAGGAAAGTTAAGCAATTCACTTTTTATTGACAATCATTGCCAGTAATAAGTCCTCTATAATTAAATAGAAGGACTAAAGGTGATTGGCCACTTGTTGTATTTGTTCTAAATATACTAACAAATCCATAGCTTATTCCACAACTCGGGAAAGTGTTAGAATATTGGTAAGTCCTTCCTGTTCTGAATACGAATCTTGTTCCCTGTAAATAATAACCAATTTTATAAAAATTAATTAAATCTTTGCGCTAAAAATTTTTTGTACACCGATAACGTTTTTGTTTTCAAATTTCCCTAACTTTATTATAAATTCCGATGCAGATTAAAATAATATTATTACATCAATTCTTAAATAAATTATTATTTTAATTAATTAATTAATAATTAATTAATAATTAATTATTAATTAATTAATAATTAATTAATAATTAATTATTAGTTAATTAATAATTAATAATAATAAACTAATTAAAGAATAATTAATAAATTATTATTTACTTTAGGAAGAAGGATTAAATTACTTTTTTCGTTATAAATTAAAATAGTGGTTCAATTTCTCCACTTGAGAACGTCAAGGTCACCACCAGGTAGCAGGAGAAATTTCAAGAAGGGACTGAATTTTATAACATTGCGAGGCGAAAATAATAAATTATAAACGTAATAAATTGTGCTAATTGGAAAAATAAAATTGAAACAAAAAAATTATTTATATTACGAATCAAACTTTTTACCTTTTTAATCGGACATTCCTTAGTTTCGGCTAAAAATTCTAATACGAAATGTTGGGCAGCATATTCCGGAGTGCCGTATTTATAATCGCCACATATATTATCAACTTCGACAATTTGTCGACTTCCACTTTTTTCGAAAAAGTAATTGAAATTAAGCTTTAAAGGAAAAATGTAAGTGAATTAATATAGTTTGAATTAATATAATTTAATTAAAATAGTTTAATTAACATAATTTAATTAATATAGTTTAATTAATTTGGTTTAGCTGATTAATTTAGATTAAAAGAGAAAAAATTTTTTAAATTTTTATTCTTACTTTTAAAGGATTTGTGTCAGCGTTAAATTCCTCTGTATATAAAAATTCGTAAGCATTATTGTTTAATCTTCTAACAGTTAAACCCTGAGTTTCATCCAACGTTCTGAAGTCGGCCTCATACACAGTTCCTCTTCTGTCATAGGCCTAAAAATTAATAATTATTATTGTAAATATTATAATCGAATTCGAATTTTAAAGAAACGAAAAATTATATTTTCCTTGAAAAAAGCTTTCGAAAGCAAAAAATTCTTTTGAAAATAATAATCTTACTTTTGTCAAGTTGATGATAATAAATATCGAAAGAAGTGCTTTTCGCATTTGTCGATTCATTTTCGCTTACAATTTTCAGAATTTCAGTTATAATTTTGAATATAAAATAAATTTGTATTTACTTATTGGTTTCTTATAACGAGAGGGCTTATATACGAGAAAAATTGTGATGTTTATCAGTAAATAAATTTTATCGAAAAGAAAATTAACGCCATGTGTACTTTAGGCTGGAGATAAAAATTTTTGGTACAGTACCGGCCAAAATTGTCAGTCCACCCATTTTTGAAGGAATAAAAAAAATTTTTTAACATAAAATTTATAAAAACTCAAATTTTTTTTGGTTTATATTTTGAAAGACGATAAAATTTTGCAAAGAATAAGACCTCACAGAAGTTATTTGGACAAAATTAGTAGAAGATATTCTTAAAAATCGTCATTTTCAATGTTTTACCAAAATTTAAATAACTTCTAAAATAATGAACGCTTTTTAATAATCTTCAGCTTATATTTTAAAGTTCATTTTCTACGGAATAAGAATTACTTATAGGCATTAACCTGTAATTTTTTATTTGGAATAAGCATGACGTCAAAGTTGGACAAAAAAATTGGAAAAATTTGAAATAATATTATTAAAAGAAAAATAATTTTTGAAATTCAAACATATTTTTTTATTAAATTTTCTTGGAAAATCTACACCATATCATGTTTTATATATGTTCTAGAATAGTTTTTAGTACAAAAAATTTATTTCAAATTTTTCCAATTTTTTTGTCCAACTTTGACGTCATGCTTATTCCAAATAAAAAATTACAGGTTAATGCCTATAAGTAATTCTTATTCCGTAGAAAATGACCTTTAAAATAAGCCTAAGATTATTAAAAAGCGTTCATTATTTTAGAAGTTATTCAAATTTTTGTAAAACATTGAAAATGACGATTTTTAAGAATATCTTCTACAAATGTTGGCCAAATGACTTCTGTAAGGTCTTATTCTTTTCAAAATTTTATCTTCTTTCAAAATATAAACCAAAAAAATTTGAGTTTTTATAAATTTTATGTTAAAAAATTTTTTTTATTCCTTCAAAAATGGGTGGACTGACAATTTCGGACGGTACTGTACCTTATTTTATTTTTTGATATTTGAAAATGTTCTTTATTTCAAATTTGAATATTCATTGCGACATTTGACTGTTTGTTAGTCTTGGCTATTTTTACTATAATTATTTAAAAAAATAATATATTAAATAACTAATTTATCAAAATTTCTCTTTGTCGCATTTTTTTCCCCTTAAATTGTAAAATTCTTTTATAAAATTTAATATTTTTTTTACCTCCGTATAATTTAATACCTTGTTGAACTTTTTCAATTTATTCTGAAGTATTAAAAGAATATTTTCAACAACAATTTATTTTTAGGTACTTTATACAAAGTGACATTCTTTTTATCTACCTTATAAAATATGCAGGTTGACAATAATTTTTCGATAAAATTAAATTACCGATAATTTTTACATAATTTTTGTATATAAGTATTCTCATTTTGTGAAATTCACGTAAGTTCTTAAATTTTGACCTGGAAATTATTTACGTTCAAATATAAATAATAGATATAAAATTTTAAATATAAAGAAGAAACAATATTTTAATGACTATCTAGTTAGGTAATTAAGACTATACTGAAACGATAATAATTCCTACGATTGAAAAATTGTGTGACATTAATAATATACAATAAATATATGCAATTATCTAAAATGGCAAATAAAAATTACTGTAATTATTTTCAAAGCATTCGTGACAATTTTAATTATTTATCTCCCTGACAACAGTTCACATCTGTGGAGAATTATTTTTTTTTATCAGTTCAACATAATTTGTCGTGTTTAATTAATTAGAACTTGTTTTATTTTTTTTTCACTAATTATAATTGACAAAACGAATAAAAAATTGCTTGAAAGTTGAAACTGATTCAAATTGGTCTAAAAAAATAAATAATAATATTTATCTAAATTTTTTGATGTTTTGAATAATTTTACAATTAAAGATATTGAGAAATAAATGTATTACAAATTTTTTTTTTCGACTGTCAAATAATTTTTAGAGTAAATCAAAATATTTTTTTGAAAATATTAAAATATATCAGGGAAAAAGTGAAAATTCTATTTCTGAAAATCAGGGAAATGTAAGGAAAAAAGAAAATCAAGGTTTTTTTTATTTTTGAATATTTTTTTATATATATGTACATATATATTTTTATTGTTTACAATTTTTTTTAATTAACAATCAGATCCAGTGACGTTCGCTCGATAGTGAAATAAAAAAACTAATGACGATGTGTCTTGTTTTGAGTTCTTTTTAAAAAGACCTATTGATCCATAAGTAATTCCACAACCTCGATTATTGATAGAATATTTGTAAGGTTTTCCTATCGTGAATATTACTTTCGTTCCCTGAAAAAATAATAATAACAACAAAAAAAAAAATTTTTAAATATTATTTTCAATGTGTATTTGAATATTTTTTGAAAAGAAAAAGATAAATTTTTAATTATCACAATTTATAAACAATATTTTTCCGCCTTACTTTTTTTATCGGACATTTATCAGTGTTGGCAAAAGATGTTAATACATATAACTTGGCCGCATGTTCGTTAGTGCCATGCTTATAGTCAGCACATAAATTATCGATTTTAACGATATCTCTCCCTCCAGTATTTTCAAAAAAGTAATTTAAATAAAGCTGTAAAAGAAAGAAATAATATAATTTAATTGATAAAATTATTCTTTACAGTCTCCGTCTCGACTCTTATTTTAACAAAATTAATAATTATACTCGAAGACAATAAATATTGAAATATTTTTTAAAATTAATTTACAATATGAAATTTTTTAAAGAAAGAATGGACGATAAACGAATTTTTCTTACTTTCAGGGGATTTGTGTCGGCGTTAAATTCTTCTGTATATATAAAATTTCAGTTTTTGTTTCATTTAAATTTTTCACTATTACACCATGAGGTTTAACGTAGTCATAATATGTCCATAAGTTGTAACTCCCATTCTAATGACAGCCTAGTAAATAATAAGAAATTATAATTATTGAAAAAAATATATATATATATAAATAATAATAAATCGGACAATGATTTTAATATGTTTACTCCAACATTTCAAAATTTAAATGATTTCCTCTTCAGGGAGTCTATAAAAAAATATACAAAATTAAAATAATTACAGAGAATAATTTAACAAATAAAAAAATATATAAAATAGAAATAAATATCTATAAGTAAAAAATTAACTAACTATTAATAAATACTAAAATAGCCTAATAAATATTCAAATAATAATAATAATAATAATCCTTTTTCCGTGTAATTAATAACAAGATTATAATTATAATTATTATTATTATATTTATTGTATACAAATATATTATTATTATTAAATTCTACTACAGAAATATTATATTAAAATCTTACATTTGTGACATTGATAACAATAATAAATATTGAAAAAACGTAAAATGCTTCATGTATCCAAAACTTCATTTTATAATATTAAAATATTTAAAATTGAGGTAAATAATTTGGAATCCAAATGTCAACTAGTTATTATTTCTTTAAAAAATCACCTATATTTGCAAATTAATACAAAAGTTATCAGTAACGTAATTTCATAGAAAAAAAAAATGGTGACATGTGTATAGAATATAAAAAAGATAAAAAATTGTGTCACTTTTTTTATTTATACACATTTATGATAATATTATTCATAAAGTTTTTGAATTAAATTTAAGTTTTTAATAAAAATTTAAACACACTTTAATATTATTTAGTAAATACGAAATATAATAAATTAAAGTGTTTTCTTTTTATTATGACTTTATTTATTATTTTTTATTTTATATATTTTATTATATCCATTTTTGAATTATTATTTATCATAACAATTAATAGCGACATTAATTTTACGCGTGCGATACAATTATATTTTGTAACGTCGAAATTACGGAAGTCATTATTAGAGTTCTGTCCATTTTCTACGCAAATATTATTATTCACTTGGTAGATTAATTGCGTAATGCACGTTACATGTTTTTTTTGTTCTAATTCTTTTTTAATAATACAACAACGTTTTTTTCCATTTATTCGGACAGCAGGATATTTTAATTCGTTTTTATTACAATAAGTTGAGAGTATAATTTTTTTAAAAATTAAAAATTTTAATTACATTTATTAATTTGATAATTATTTTTTAAATAAAAGAAATGTTTCAACAATTTTTAACGAATTTTTAAGACAATTTAAACTTTTACAAAATTTTCTACACACGAAGAGAGAATAAATATTAAATTTTGTAAAAGTATTTTACAAGTTGTGGAAAAATGAGAAAAAGCGAAATTTTTATATAAAAAATACTAAACTTAAAAAGAAATTATATGAAATTAAGTAAAATTTATATTAAAAGTTAATTAATATTCTTGATATTTGATGTAACTATACTAAATTTCACACAAGTTCTTTAAAAGTTTAGTATTTTTTAAATCAAAATTTTGCTTTGTCACATTTTTGTCTTAAATACTTTTATAAAATTGAATATTAGTGTTTAAATTTAATTATAACTTTGGTATTAAAATTAATTTAGACTAATTTTCGTAAAATTAAAATCAATTTTTTGAGAACAAAATGAAATATGTTCTGATTAAGTCTAAAAAATTTCCAATAAGAAACATTTTAAGAATTTAACAAGTTTTGTTGAATGTTATTTTTATTTCAACTTTAGGTATAAAAAAGTTACTGTCCAACAAATAGAACACATTTTTTTTTAATTCGAAAAGTTTAACTCGAACCATTTTGAAATAATCTAAAAAATTAAATCGAGTTGAGAGTGATTTGCTCAAACCTAAATTAGTGCAGAACAGCTTGAAACAAGTTCAGAATAATTTTAAAGTTCATTCAAATCAGTTTGAATGTTTGGAAAAACGGGAAATAAGTTAACGATTGTTTTTTGTGAATCCCAAATTTATTCGAGATTATTTGGCACAAATTCTGATTGGTACGAATTCAAACTAGTTTGGAACAAGTTAAAACGAGTTACTAGTGATTTACTGTAATAAAAATTACTGTAGTAGTAAAAAATACTCGAAATATTTTGAAACAAGTTAACAAGTTTATAAAGTTCAAACCAGTTGGAAACAATGTCGATTGTTTTATCCGAATCGAAATTTATTCTTGACTATTTGAGATAAATTCAGATAAATTTTGATTGTTTATTTATTTAAACTTTGTTTGGAACAATGTAAATGATGATTTTGTCAGTTTGGAACAACTTAAAACAATTTAATTATAAACACAACAATTAATTAAATTAATTGAACAGAATTTAAACAAAACAATTTTACCTTCCTTTTGATCGAATTCAACTTATTCATTTAAAACAATTCAAATATAGTGATTTGCTATTATCTAAATGAATTCGGAACAATTTCGAACAAGTTGATAATAGTTTTGAATACATTTGCACCAGTTTGAAACAATGTTAAACAAGCTGGCGATTGCTATGAATCAAAACTTATTTGAAACTACTTAAAAATTTAAATTGTTTTAATATTTATTATTATTTACGAATATTCAAACTATAGTTGATTGGAACGTAATTTTAGTCAAAATTGTGCTGAAAATAAGATTTATTTTTTACACTGCAACCAAACTTTTATTGAAGAAGAAAAAAAATTTTAATTCTTTCAACAAAAGCTTGGTGCTAGAACAACTGAAATTTTTGATTTTGTCTTTGGTTGTCACAACAAAGAAATTGTAGGTTTGCTTAACCATCAACGAAATCCTTTTCTCAGCGGATTATTTGTGGTAAATTAACAATGATTTGAGAAACTGTTAGAGAGTGGATCAATTATCCGTAAAAGCTGATTCAGCGTTACAGGAATAATCACGATCCATCTTAAATGCAATTCTGCATCACAAGTGGGAAGCTTAATCTCAGGAACGTGTGATGACATATTCTCGAGTATGAAACCAAAATTTCCTACCAAAGCACACTCATATCACTTGGACACTTACAGGCAATTTCGAAATTACTATATATAACCATCGTGTCATTAGTTTCTAGAACGTGTAATTTTCTCGATAATATATATATTGTATCTACAGCAATTACAAATTATTCACAAATCTAGAATGCAGATCATTATTTCAAATCATTAATTATAATTAATGATTTGAACTCCAAAATAATTATGAAATCCAGCGCTCTTTACTCAATTGTGTTAAGTTATTTCAAATTTTTTTCTAAAGTTTTGAACTTATTTTTTAAAATTATTAGCAGGGTTGTCACAAGTCAGGGAAAGTAGAATTGGTCAGGGAAATCAGGGAAAAGTCAGGGATTCTTATTAAAGTACTGGAAAAAATTCAATTTGCAAGGTTCATAATTAGTTTTATCTCATTTTTTAATATACACTGTAAAAAAAGGGAGTTAAATTTTAACTCCCCCGGGGGGTCTATAAAAGTCGCACCCATTCGGGAGTTAATGCCAGGGGAGTTAAATAAAGAGAGTTAAAATTTCACACCCAAATGCTAACTCCCCAAGGAAAAAATAACTCGCGCGGGTGTTGAATGAAGGGAGTTAGAAATTAACTCTCTTTTGGAGTTGATTTTTAACTCGAAAAATTTCACTCCCAACTCCCGAGTCCGTTAACTCCCTAAATTTTTTACAGTGTATATATTTAATTAATTATTAAAAATCATGGATTTATAGAAGAATTTTAGTTAAAAACACTAAAAAAAAATTTGAATATTAGAGAAGTTACAAATGTCTGCAAAAATTCAATTAAAAAAAAATTTTTTTTTTCAAAAATTTAAAAAAAATTTTCATCAAAATTTCAATTATTTTTAAAAATAATAAAATTATTCTCAAAAATTCAATTATTTTCATAAATAATAAAAATTTTACAGGAATACAACTATGTATAAATTTTTTATAATTTTTTTCGCAGTAATTCAATTATTTTCATAAATAATAAAACTTTTTACAGAGATTCAATTATTTTCATGAATAATAAAACTCATCATAGAATTTAAATTATTTTAAATACAATTTTAACTGAATTCCTCGAAAAATGTAATTATTCTTGAAATTTTTATTAAAATTTGTCGAAATATTCAATTATTTAAAAATTTGTTGATAAAATTCTTTATGAGAATTCAATTTTGAGAAATATTTATTTATTCAATAATTTTTTCATTTTTGTATTTAAATAATTGAATTCTCGTAGAATTTTCTAATACAAATTGTTTTAAAAATGAATTTTAGTTAAAATTTTAAATAATAATTGAATATTAAAAGCATAATTAAAAGCATAAAAGCATGAATTTTTAGAAATAATTATATTTTAAAAAAGTTTAATTGGATTTTTTAAATAATTATTTCAAGCTTTTATTTTTAAAATATTTAAATAAAGAATTTCGGTATAATCAAAATTTCGTGAAATTGAATTGAAAACAAATGGGTTTGAAAATTCTTTAGAAACTTTTGCACAAATTATTAAAAATAATTGATAATTTTTCATTTATTTCTTTCGGAGAGTTTTAATTACATTTTATTTTTAAATAATTGAAATTCTGCGTGAATAATATTATTACTTATGAAAATAATTGATTTCTTGCAACGAATTTTATTACATTTTTTTAAATAATTGTATTTTTTTGAGAAAATTTTATTATAATAGTAGATTCTGAAAATATTTGAATTTCAGCGAAGGATTTCATTATTTGTGAAATGTAATTTAATTCTTGCAAAAAATGTTTGAAAATAATTACATTTTTCGAGGAATTCATTTAAAATTGTATTAAAAATAATTTAAATACTTGGAAAAATTGTAATATAATTATGATAATAATTGAATTCTTACAATGAATTTTGTTACATTTTTTAAAATAATTGAATTCTTGCGAAGGTTTTTATTAAAATTATTGTAAATAATTTAATTTTACAATTAAAGAAATTCGTACTCTCTAAATCTGAATTAGTAGTTTTCTACTAATGAAATAGTGCGGATTCGTTTACCAATTGAATTAGTAACTGTTTTACTAATTTTTAGTAGTTTTTTTTTACTAATTATTAGTAGAAAATTTACTAATTTGAAATAGTAAAAAATACGTTCTACTAATTGAATTAGTAATTTTCTACTAGCAATTAGTAAAAAACTACTAAAAATTAGTAAAAAATGTTACTAATTCAAATGGGTAAACGAATCCGCACTAATTCAGATTTAGAGAGTAAATATATGTAATAGAACATTTTTTTTAAAAATAATATCTAATAATTTTGAGAGTGAATCAGAATGTTCTTTAGGGTCAGGGAAAATGTAAAAATTTTGTCTGGAATAGCGAAAGTTTTAGCTGAAGTAACTAAAATTTTCGCTAATGTAGAGAAATTTATAGCCATTCCAGGTAAACTTTTTTTCTCCGTGTATAATTAGAGAATTGCCTGACAATATTGCAGTAATATTTCCGAGCAATGTTGGTAATATTACCAGGCAATATTGTCATTATTACCAGACAGTATTGTCACTATTA